GTTGATATCGTAACTTAACAGGCATGCCTTGATGCGCTGCACAGCTTTCACTCGCTCATCGGGAGCAAGGAACCAGGCGCTCGTAGGCGAATCAGGGAACAAGAACCTTTTTCAGGTAGAGACGGTTATGGAGATGAGGCACTAGGAACATTTGCTTCGTAAACTCACCAAAATAAGATGGCAAGGATCATCGTCATTGTAGCGGTGATAACCATAAGCCTGCGATATATCAGAGAGAATATGAAACAATGAAAATAAAATGGCAGACCATTGCCATGGTTCAAACCCAGAGGTGTGAATGTGCAAAGTACCAAAGCTGATGAAACCAGAGATTATTTGTGCTAGAAATTACTGGCTTGGGTGGCAAGATCGATGATACATTGCAGTAAGCGCACCAATGCCAAGCATCATAGCTAGGTTCCAAAATGTCAAATTAGTCGACTTCGTCAATCGTTTGCAAACAAAAGCTTACACCAATAACCAACCCGTAGCGTCTGTTCTGTTCGCGTGTAGAACATGGAGCCAACGATCAAGAATCCGGCGGTGATCGACCCCTCACATACGCCCAGCAACATACGCACGACAAAAAGCTGATTAAAGTTTTTGCACGCTGCATGACATGCAAGTGCAATTGCCCAGACGAAGATATTGATACTTGTATATGCTGTCATTGATATTCACATTGAGGACGTCTGTGAAGCCTACCTTATCCACTTCCCGACCGGGAATCTCTGAAGGGCAAGATTCTGGGGATACTCAAACAGAATATAACCGATATAAAATGCAGTGCCAAGCCTGAAAGATAGTGTGAGGACTATGCGATCTCGAGTAATGCATGTCTCACCAATTGAACCTGAAGTCAGTTAACCATGAGATTTTCGAATCTAAGGACAGTCGAAGGGATATCTTACTCATTCGTAGTCAGGTGTGTGGCCCGCCTGATAATACGCGTCAGCGCGCCGTGTTTGGCTGGTCTCGATGCACAGTCCTCACTGCATTCCAAGGATGGCCGCAGAACCTAAGGTTATCTTGTCCAGGATTTGGATACTATGCGCACGTAAGCGCTAGTCTGTGGCGAACGCAGGCAACTAACCCAAAAAGAACTGCGCAGCAATCATCAAATACAAATGTGGTCGGTTTATAAAACTGAGTACAGCAGCCGACTCACCACACATCAGAGGCATGACATGTCTATCGATCTTCTTTCTGAAGCGAAAGGTTTTTGAACGATATTGAGGTGTATGCAGTTTTCAGAGCGCACCTTATTCTCAAAGCCTCATCGGGCTTAAGAGTCGAAGTCAACCCAGCAACGAGCTGAGCGCCAGTGTCAACTTCAGACACAGAGATCCCTATATAGTTCTTGTCTCTGGATGCAACGCTAGAGGATTTCACACTCATTTGAGAGGACGTGAAGGCGATATTGGCTACACAGTTCAGGAAGAAACTTCCAGCGCTCGTACTAGGTTGATAAGTGAGATTCGCCTATAATATTTACGCTATCTCTTTGCGTATTGGTGCATAACGTACGTGTCAATGAATCCCCGAGGTCCTCGCTGCTATTCCCCTTTCGGTTTCGAGTACGATGCGAATTCGAGCACGCGCATCCACGCACTCGTCAAATGAAGGATCATATACATATTTCCCTATCAAGATGAAATATAACAGAAAGATAAATTCTCACCAGATAATTATTCATGGGCATGATGTGTCCAAGCGTTTCAAAGTTTGAGTTTGACTCCTCGTGTCGTTCTTACCTTAACGAGGCCCAATTCTGCATATTCTACTGCCGATACCCAAGATCAGTTAGGAATCCGGATAGATGGTGGCAAGAGCTGCGACTTCTTCAAAACTTTAACTCGCCACTTGTGGCACTGGCACTGCCGAACAAAACTGAGCGCTAATTTTCGCTTGTCAAAAAGAAGTTTGATGCTTACGGTGAGTTTATACGGCGCTGGTGATGACCGCCGTGCGATTGGTGGATTCAGAAAAGAGAGTGAAGATGCAGACGCTGACGTGGATATCGCTGCAGCACTACATGCATAGTAATATCTAGCTGATAAAACTTTATCTAGACGCTGATAAGATATCATGCGATGAGCGCTTAGTAGAGACACAGCTGGACCTGTATCATATTCATCTTTTCATTCATGGCAGATCCCGACTGATACCACAGGGCGATGATGCAATTTTCTCAGATCATCAAGCAGCGTATTGCATTTATGTAATGTTATGGAACTCGGCTTATAAAAAGGAAATTGCCTAAATTAAAAGTCTAGGTAGGTAACTTGAAACGACAAGTAGTATATAGATACAATTTGAATCTACGCCACTGGCTATGAACGTATCCTTCCATAGCCAGCACTTTGCAATCTAGAAATGTTACCAACGTACTTTAAGTTATAAATATTCGTCTGCCGACAGGAGCTAAATATGCCTCGTCAACAGATACCAGATAATAAACAACGACTGCGAATGAGAGCTGAACAAAAACGCCTTTTTGGGCGAGTCTTTGCCGAGTATCCACACCAGAGCTGCGGCGAATAGACAGCTTCCCATAATGTATGTGTTTTCGATGAAGGCCAACATAACCAGCATGTGACATGCCGTTAGTATGACCTTCGTTCTGAGTATAGAACCGAGAAGGACAGGTATAGTGGGAACGCCAGCCTTCATATCGTCTTCGAAGTCACGGACATCTGTCATGATCTATAGATATGGTCAGGGTCAAATCGTGCGATCATGTGCGTTATACTTACTGCGTGGCATGAGCGGTTGACGGTCGACCAGATTAACAGTTGAGCAACGCTCCATGGAGACGGCAGCGTGTTAGTCAGATTGCCTGACCCTGACAACACGGAGAAGACCACAGCGTAGATGCCACATCTGAAAAGCATTAGTTTAGGCGTTCATTATTCAAGGCGAACACGCAGACGTACCCTCGAATGATCCCATTAAAAATGGCTTTCATGCCAGGGATGCGTTTGATAACCAGGACAGGCGCAGAGGTAGAAGGCTGATGCCTGTCTCCGCTAAACCTCCCGAGGAGGCGCCTCGAGATCAGCCAAAACTTTTTGAAGCTGATCGGAGTGGTCCAGAGCAAAGCAGGAGCAACGAATGTTGCCGTGGTGAGGAGCGTCGAAATTGGACACTGAGATAGCGCGAATGCCAGGAGCACAGCGCTAGCGGTGAGGAAGGTCCGTGCATACAAAAACCAAGAGGCGAGGCGTGGGTCGTTTGCGTTATTGCGGTCTGACGAAAACTGCTCCTTTTTATCCTTAAGATGGTCAGCACCCATGGCAAGGATATCCGATGTAACACAGATGGTTATCTGCGAAGACAATTGTATAAGCGATATGATCTAGTATCAAATTAATGAGCGTACCGGTCTCCAGTCGATACCTGCGTTGGCAGACATGACATAGGACATAAGGGCCGACAGGGCCAAGCTGTTCATCGATATTACGATGGGTCGCAAGAAGAGTTCATCTGCAAGCTTCGGAATTGTGAGGGTTGACATCTTGGATCGAGACTGAACGATAGACAAATGCTACTCTTCCCGGCTTCTTATATCTGGTGCATCTCCGTTCCGTTACTCAAAAGATTGGCACTGATCAATTTAGGTCATCTGTACGAGATTAGAATTAACGCTCAAACCTCGTTCATTCCTGTGTTTTTTCTGTACTGGCGCCACTCGGCGTTTGCTTTGCTTGGAGTGCTTGGTACGTTTTCATTCTGCAGGCTGAGCCAAAAGCAGTGCGAGAAGTTGAAGTTCTATTGTCCGGCTCGGGTCGCTCGCATATACGAACAGTGTCCTACAACAGTTGGTCATACGCGAAATAAGTATTGAGACACACCCAGGTGCGCTGTGCAGCACTTACCTTCGAACATTTCGGCCAACATTTGAATTCCCAATGATCATGCAAAGTTTGCGCTCAACGTTCTGGTTGCCTGTCGACCATCTGTTCGCATCATTAGTTGAGAAGAAAAACAAACCAGACTAGCGAACAGTCCGTCGGTGTCGTAGATTTGTTCTTGGAAAATGACTTGTTGCACCCAGCCATACCGAAGTACACCGTGAGTGAGTCACACGCACGACGACCGCCGCCTTGTACTATTTCGTCGTTTGTAGCAAATCTATTAATAACTGATGCCAAGACTCAAAAGCAAAGCCCTAATATGATGTCATTCGCTATTATTAGAGCGAGTGAGTAGTCGATAGACTTCGGTTGCGTTCCGGACGCGCATTTTTCGAGCTGGGAAGGATGAGGCGGTATATGTGTATTGTGACCCATTGGCAGAGCCTCAATCACCAGGAATGCCACCAAGTTGCGCCCAAGCTGATAAGGAGGCGGTGATGAGCAGGTGGTACTGAACCTTGGATTTTTCCGAGTTCGGTCCTAGCCGCAGTGACACCCAAGAGACGCCGTTCGATTTGCTGTATAAGTAATCTAATACTAACGCCAGCCTATATATGTAGACGCCCACGGCTCCATCGGGCTTCCGATCAAACCGCTTTCAACAGCACTATGTTTGCCGATATGCAACCCGACACGACCGGGTCACTGCAAATATTGACCGACAACAGTTGGCAACGAAGTGCTGGTGAATGGATGTTTGCGAGAACATGGTTGTCTATCGCCTGTACTGCGGCTTGCCTTTATTTTTATTAGCATGACGTTATTGGTACTACCGGTACCACTAAGTTTGAGGAGTATATCCGAGATTCATGTCCAATCAGTTCGGACAAATGATAAGACTATTAGCAGAGTCACACACAAAGTACACACGAGCGGAACTTACCGAAATATATGATGAACTCCTCAGAGTGAATCTATTTGTGTGTGCAAGACCATAAAAACTAAAAAAGCTTGTTGCCTCCTGCTCGCCAAGAGCTATGTTTAGTCGTAGCCTTCAGTTTTCCAGTCCAACACAGAGCAGCTTTACACACAATGTCATCTCTCGGCCGCCCAAGACTTCATATATCCGACGTTACACTTCATCTAAAAGTCGGATGCGCTCGATGAGCGGTGTTTGATTTTAGGCGACCGCTTAGCGTCTTTTAAGTTTCTGCGCGAGCGAGCATCCCAAATATCTCCAAAACAATATATATTGAGTGAATCTTATGAAAGTGCGAGATTATCACAAAGTAATCAAATCTTATCTACATATCTACAGAGCATCAGACATACTAGCAGTACTGATAGTAGATATACCTCGTTCAACTAAATCTTTCTTTAAAGAAATGGAAGCATGATATACTGCAGGAACATTACAAATGGCAAGACTGTGTTGTTGAATGAAACGATACTCTGCTCCAGATGATGAAGATGCTGAAAACTCAACCGTCTGACGTCTCCCGCTGAGATGCTCCATGAGGACTGAATGTGTTGCAGCGCCGCCGAGTGAAATCAGATTATCGAGAGTGTCCACGTCGTCTATGTCAAGCTCTGTGTGGAAGCCGGTTTCCCACACAGCTGCAATGATGATGGTGTGTATGCCAGGATGGTTGACTGGGGCCAGCGAGTCCGGATCATTCGTTTCGTGCTAGAGAAAAAAAGGATAAGTCATTAGAAGAAGTAATACAAAAAGAAAACTTACCAAAAACAAGTACACATGATTCTCAATGAGTATCGGTACGCGTTCTTTCCTGTGCATGATCTCCGCATTTGCGTCCAACGGACGGTTAAGATCATAATGAACTGGGACTTCGCGGCGCACCCTCGTTTTGAAGGCTGTTCGTATGGTTGTTGTGAGGGTTCGGAGGCTCTTAAGACAAGTTTCATAGTTGGGAACCTCCGCGTCAGGCATGAAGTCCTGGCGAGCTGCTGACAGCGCTGCCTCTGCCATCGCCGTGTTGATGCCCGTTTCGGGCATAGCATTCTCTAGTAACACCTTGCAGCGCATATTAGACTTTGTGGCTTCCATCAATTTCTTGAATTGCTCGTTAGTCGGACGTTGGGGAGCATAGGGATGGGAGCGTGCAGGACTGTTGGCCACAGGCCTGGAACCAGCCACAGGCAAATTAGTGATAGGTGAGGGAGGAGTAGACACCAGAGGCAACTCTCTGCGAGATGGGAGTGGTGCAGTAACAGTGATGTCTCCTGTAGCCTGTAGAAGAGAGTCAGTCACAATCATGATACAAGTGAGCGACGCACTCTGATAACTCTGGTTGGGAACAGTTGTCCCCAGTGGCCTTCGGGTGGGCGGTGAGGATCATATACGAATACCTTCCGAATTCCGGGCAGGTCGATGGGTAAGCGTCCCAGATAACGTGTCTGTTCTTCCTCCCTCTGCGTCTCTTGCATGCATCCGATATTCCTGAAGGTTGTCGGTGTGGGCACATCAAATTGATGTGCCTCACGAGACACGAGTTCCGATGGTGCGAATGGAATCTGCGGGAGCCCATAAGTGTGAGCATGAGGGGCTGGTTGCTGTTGGAGCTGCCGGGAGTCTGGCGGTGGAGCTGGCTGCATGAACGGTGGGTGGTAGTCGTGCGACGGGCCTGGTTGCCCAAGATGTTGTCAAGGGATCTGCTGGGGGTCCGGTGGTGGAACTGGCTGCATGAACAGTGGGCAGTAGTCGTGCGACGGGCCTGGTTGCCCAAGATGTTGTCGAGGGAGCTGCCGGGAGTCTGGCGGTGGAGCTGGCTGCATGAATGGTGGGCGGTAGTCATGTGACGGGCCTGGTTGCCCAAGATGTTGTCGAGGGAGCTGCCGGGAGTCCGGCGGTGGAGCTGGCTGCATGGACAATGAATAGTAGTTGTGCGATGGACCTGGTTGTGCGAGATGTTCATCGGCTTCCTCCATATCGACTTCCTCCATATCATCTTCCTCCTCCATCTCATCGTCCTTGTCCTCGTCCTCATCCATGCCTTCGGATTCGATTAACGAGATTAGTTGCTGGTATGATGCCGGACCTTGAGGTTGTTCGACATGGACACCAATCTGGCTTGCATCCAAATTTAAAGATGGGTTTAAACCCGAATTTTTCCCTGGTTTTTTTATTGCCTAATAATATTATATTAGTAGCATGCGTAGGTAGTACTGCAAGACTTACCTTCGCATTCTTGCGCGAGGGACACTTTTTCGTGATCTTCATGTGCTTGCCAGTTGCACTGGCCTTTGGAGGCATGATGATGGGTGGGTGGAAAATGTATAAGAAAAATGTACGCTCGAGTCCAGGTGCTTAACAGCCGGGGTTATTTAATTGGCCCCAGGGTTCTATCGGCCTCATGGTGCAGCCAATTTAATTGAAAGATCAATCAGTAATCACGAATGCAGACATTTATGTATTAGACACACCGAAATCTGCATGCTGCAAACCTCGTGGCATGATGATCAGTATGTTTGATGCAGTTTCATGTGGGGTAAGGACAGAATAGGCAAAAGATGTGATAGTGCGGAATGATATTGATGGTGACAAGATAGTATCAATAGTGACAGAAGAAGAGAAATCAGTCACGAGGTTAAAGAAATCAGTCACGAGGCTACATCGAACATTACGACAAAACTCTTGAATACATAAAACTGGTACACCGTTGATCTAGAGCGGTAATCGACGAATCAGTGACATTTTTGATCAAGATAAGAAATGAACTTAACTGATTGCCTAGTCCCGACCGCTTTCGGAGTCTTCGCCACCATTGTTAGCCATGATCAAGTCTGTGTCGGTGACCCCATGTGCGATAAGTAGTCCTTCCATATCGTTGTATTTACCTTGCACAAACTTGAGGGACTCTTTTGCTTTGAGGAGGTTCGTAGTAATGCTGGAGGATGGTTCAGAAACCTCTGTGCACTCTTTCTGCATGTTTTCAATCCAGAGTCAAAGCCCATCTTCTGCGGCTTCATGTTCTTTCTTCAACTTGTTGATGGATTGGTTCAAGAAACTGGTCCACCTGCTCGCCTCTTCTACCTGCCAGATCCTGGTCATGATAAGGTGGCAAAGCTTCTTGCAAGTGGCATACTGAGCGGCAACAGCCACTTTGAGATCCTCAGGCGGTATGTTTGTGTCACCCAGAATCTCTGGGGCCTGTTTAATCGAGTTCAATACAATAAGTACCAGCAAAAATGTGGAAAAGACTTACAAGGGACACAAAACTTGCAATAGGGATATCATGTCCCTCTGACTCAGAGTCAAACAAAGCAGAGTTAAATGAGGAGCAGCTCCCCTTGGGAGATCGTAAGGTGTAGCTCCCCCAGGGAGAGTGTAAGGAGTAGTTCCCCAGGGGAGACCGAGACCTGTGTAGAGACCGAGACCTACACTTAGCCTTGGGACTTGCTCTATAAACAGGAGAGGAATGTTCGACGAAAGTTGCAGAGCTGGTTGGGCTAGTAGGGCGCATAGTAGCAATACAAGTGTCCAGCATGATATGAACAATGGACTTGGAGGATTTGACCTGAATGTTTTCTCACTCAGCCTCTCGCTGCGGTGCTGTCAACAGACTTGTCAGCGAGTTTCAGAGTTTGAAGGACTTAACAGAATTCAAAATACATGGCGATGGATGGTCAGTCACGGTGATTCTTAAGGCTGCGATATCAATAAGTTCTTCAAGTTGAATGCTCTGATGGCATCCAATGTAGAAGAGGGCTTTACCTCTGATGAGACATTTTTAGGGCTGGAGAGTACATTTTTGATATCAAACCTACACGATGGTCCTGATCAAGCTGGCTATCATATAGTGGTACTAGCCAATATCCTTGTCCCACCTGTTCCATGCCATTTGTGAAGGTAGAAGAACTTTGCACTCACCTTACAGATGATCCGCAATGCAATGCTGTACCCATCTCTCGTGCACTTTGCCAACCTGCTGGTCCAGGTGAAGAACACATGGGTTGCTATCACACGAAATCTGGCTCTATTTATGGGTTTCAACGGCCAAATACGTTCGAGCACATGAAGGCTCATGACTATGAGTCTGCTTGCGAACATAATGTGTACTACCCATTTTCTGGGAGGGAGGAATGGGAACTCGCCAAATTTCTCATCGAGAATCTGAATCAGGGGCAAATAAGTTGCTTTTTGAAGTTATTATGGGTCAGTGAACTTTACATTAACTTTTAAATTTTAACAGCTCACTATTAGGTGAAGTCAGAAACACGGCAACAGCCCACATTCAAAACTGCGCCCCAACTGCTAACATTTATGGACGCCCTGCCAAAGGGACCACAGTGGTGCTGCACAACAATTGAGACAGATGGTTATGTTACAATGCATCTTGTGCATCTTATCTGGTGTGACACTTTGGAGGTAATGAAGCACATATTTGGCAATCTGATTTTTGCCAATGACATGGAATTCGATCCATATGAGATATTTATTGACGGAGAACGGGAATATAGTGAATGGATGTCGAGTTCACATGCGCATGATATCCAGGCTTGTATTATTTTTTATGTTCGAATACGAATTCTGACGATAGTTTTTATACATAGGACGAGCTTCCACGAGGTGCTACCATTGTGCCCATCGTTCTTGCATCGGACAAAACTCCTTTCACTTGACACACAGGAGGTCTCGAGATGCATCCCACATTCCTTACTATCGCTAACATCCAATCTGACATTCGCATGAAGGCTATGGCTCACACATGGTCGTGCATCACGTATATGCCCATTCCTCAGTTCATCTGCAACCCTGAGTTCTCTTCACTCTTGCAAGCCTGTGTGTGGCATCGGTGCATGGATATAGTCTGCATGAATCTCAAGGAGGCAGCTGCTGTAGGCACAAGTATGGTGGACCCATTGGGTCTCTCACGCTATGGATTTACCCCCCTTGTCACATATACCGCCGACCTCCCCAAACAACAGATGGTTTCATGTGTAAGTAAGAATACATCACCAGTCACTCTAGCCATCCAGTCACAGTTCGGGGACAGAAAGTTGTATGAACCTCGCGACGGCCGGGGCACACTCAGGACGCTTTAAGAACTTGGTCAGCATATTGATCCCTGGAAGGTCCAGGAATTTCAAGAAGCAGCCAAAGTGTCACATCTCAGCGGGGTGCAGCTTCCCTTCTGGTGTGACTGGTGCTTCGCTGATCCAGCTATTTTCCTTGCACCTGAACTTCTCCACACATGCCATAAATTTTTCTTCAATCACATTCTCAAGTGGTGTAAGGAAGTTGTTGGGGCTGATGAACTTGATACTTGCTTTTGTTCGCAACATAAACACATTGGAACCCATCACTTTGGGCAAGGTGTCTTCCATGTCTCGCAGATGACCGGTCAGGAACATCGGGACATCCAACACACAATTGTATCTACAATCACAGGTGTCGTCGATCCTGATTTCGTCTGCGCTGTTCGCGCGATGGTCGATTTCATCTACAAAGCACAGGCTCCAACTTTCACTCCAACATCGATCGCTGACATGACCTTCTCACTCCAAGAGTTTCACAAATTCAAACATGCAATTCTCCGTGCCAAGGCTCGCCGAGGAACATCGGGTCCTATTGAGCATTTTGAAATTCCAAAACGTGAGCTCTTAGCATCATTCGCTTGAGCCATCCCCCAGCTTGGCTCCATCATACAATTTACTGCTGATGTCAGTGAGCGCATGCTCATCACACAGTGCAAGAGTCCATTTGAGCGCACCAGCCACCAACATGCAACGTTCACTCAGCAAGTCATCCGTCTCCTGGACCGGGAAGAGACTACATGCCAGTTCGACCTCTATGCCCTCCTCCACTCAAACGACATGTCCCTCAACAACCTCATTGTCAATGAATTTGACGAAGTCGTTGACATGGACCTGATGTTGGGTTTGATCATGCACGTCACTCCTGAAGAACTGTCTCGTTTTCAAGGCCCACGTCCTGTTCGCAACCATTTCCTCAAAGGCCTGCTGTCTGAAGACAGCAGGATCACCTTTCATATCACTGTATCCAGTGACCACACCAACAAGACAGCGCCTTTTTTGGCGCGATTATACCAGCTTCCTGACTTTCCTCTGATGCTTCACTCCTTCATTGAAAGTGTCAACCCTATGCTTGCAACTCGTTTCCAGAACCGTCTGCTCAATGTCTGGAACAAGTTTCATATTCAGCTGCATTCAATGTTGCGTCCGCGTCTTGTCATGCCGAGCCAGCAGGTACAAGCATATCTGCCATCTACCAATTATCCTCGTGGAAATTGTGATGCTGTCCTGCTGCAGATGCACAGTGAAGGTGAAGAAGGTGAAAATCTTGGTGAGTTTTGAAGTTACGGTCAGTATCTTTGTATTCATGCATTTCTTCACTAGACGCCATTGTAGCTCAAGTTCGCATGGTGTTCAGCTTGTCAAAGAAAGGCCCACCATTGCCTGCTGAACTTGATCAAATATTCCTCTATGTACAGCTCTTTGAAGTCGTCGCACATCCTTAAGATGATGTTGGAGTCATGATGTTCCGTGTTAAGTGCTGTTTTGTGACCGGTCCTGATGGCACACAAGTGTGGGTTGGCATGATCATTCCTCTGCTCGATGTTACCCATGCAATCAAGCTCATTCCTGTTTATGGGGACAGAGCTAATTGTGCTGTTGACTCCTCGACGTGTTTGGAAAGCTATGATACCTTCTACCTTAACAATTTTTCAGACAAAGAATGGTACCACACGCTACACACAGACTTTATGTAGTTTCTCTCGAGTCTAGACGTCCTGTGGTGTGCATTGCAATGTTAGATTGATTGATTGGACTATCTTGCAAAGATAAGATTCGGTAAACAATTTAAGACTAAATCTAAGACTCGATTTCGTGATTTTGACACGACTAAGTGAGTTGTCAGATCTCCATCAATCACATGAGTTCGCTACTGAAGTCGTAAGTGTTCGTAAGTGTTCATAATGCGCATAAGTTAAGGGTTCATTTCAGTCATTTTGCAGATGTTGAAGATAGGCCCATGTAGCTGCGATGCTCTGACCCGGGTGAGCGTGAGTAAACCTCGGAAATTTTGGTGCCTGTAGGTTGGGTGCGGGTATGACCCTCATCGACTCATCTCTCGGCTCATCTCTCGGCTACCCCAAACATCACACATCCAGCTTTGCGCCCCGAGATCTAAGGCAAAATCTACTGCAGATTCAGTCTTGGGATCCAAATAAACTCTTACTTTGAGGTTGCCGTCTGGAATATTGATAAGATGAGTATCACTGTGGTGTGGTACCCCAAAGAGGTAGCTGCCAGAAAGTGGCCACCGTGATCGGCGGATGCTCAACCGTGTTTGAGGATCTCTGGCAGCTACCTCTTTGGGGTACCACACCACAGTGATACTCATCTTATCAATATTCCAGACGGCAACCTCAAAGTAAGAGTTTATTTGGATCCCAAGACTGAATCTGCAGTAGATTTTGCCTTAGATCTCGGGGCGCAAAGCTGGATGTGTGATGTTTGGGGTAGCCGAGAGATGAGCCGAGAGATGAGTCGATGAGGGTCATACCCGCACCCAACCTACAGGCACCAAAATTTCCGAGGTTTACTCACGCTCACCCGGGTCAGAGCATCGCAGCTACATGGGCCTATCTTCAACATCTGCAAAATGACTGAAATGAACCCTTAACTTATGCGCATTATGAACACTTACGAACACTTACGACTTCAGTAGCGAACTCATGTGATTGATGGAGATCTGACAACTCACTTAGTCGTGTCAAAATCACGAAATCGAGTCTTAGATTTAGTCTTAAATTGTTTACCGAATCTTATCTTTGCAAGATAGTCCAATCAATCAATCTAACATTGCAATGCACACCACAGGACGTCTAGACTCGAGAGAAACTACATAAAGTCTGTGTGTAGCGTGTGGTACCATTCTTTGTCTGAAAAATTGTTAAGGTAGAAGGTATCATAGCTTTCCAAACACGTCGTTCCTTGGAAAGCTTGCTTCCCTCTACAGTCAGTCCAAGGGCATGGCTTGTGGGACTGGCAAATCCGCCTATAGCACTGAAACACGTCCCCGCCATATCAACAATTATCTCAGCTATCTTCAGGGCGACTGAGTTTTTCTCCGCCTCAGTATAGCGAGTCCATATACTACTCAAAGGCTCGCCATCGATGTATTCTTGAGCGACAAATGGGTTCAGTCCATCAGCGCGAAATGTGTATATCTTGGGGACTAGAATATTTGGACACCGTGCAGATATCAAGGATATGGAAGCAACCTCATTTAATATTTGGTGAGGCAGGAGAGTATCTGGTTTTGGAAGGCGCAGAGCAAAAGACTTGGATGTCATGGAGTCGTCCCAGCCAGAGAGCTATACACCATGGGACTTTGACGACGAGGAAGAAGGGCTTCGAAGAATGGACTTGCCCAAGATATCAGGTATACCTCATTATATCCCCCTTCGCCAAGCTTCCTGTCCACTAAAACCTCTGGTGTAGGTCTGTCTTTGGAGATGGCACTGGTTGCATCTTTGAGGGTTTGCTGTAGTACTGGGATGGACATTGCACATGCAGGCCATATATCATTGCTGCAGAGTCCAGACAAAGAATATTTGAATCTCTGCGAGCATGTTTGAAGTTCATTGAGATGCTGCAAATAATAGCGCCTAAATCAAACTTGAGGGAAGTGAATGTTGATATTCACAACTTAGGAGGTATTACATGTAAAAGAATGTATTATCCTCTAGGGAAAACATCGCAAAGTGATAAATAAAATATGTAAATGAGTGGAAGGTGCCCAGAGTCCATTATGATACTTCAAGTTAAACAAACAAACAAACAAACAAAGAGAAACCATCACCGTGACCAAGGAAGAAAGAACTGGCAACACAAAATGATTCTCGATTCTTGAGACTAACCACACCTATACTCATACTCCAGCATCTCCGAAGGTCGTCTCTACATCAATTCAGGACACATGCACCCCTCAGTCCATCCATTGGGGGCCATTGCAGATCTGGTGTACATGGTAGTCGTCCGCGGTATCCGTTGAGCCATATATGACTCCCAACAATTGGTTTGGGTCAGGTGTGGGAGGTTGGTATTGAGTGGACTGGGGTTGGTATTGAGTGGGTTCAGGTTGGTATTGGGTGGGGTGGAATTGCATGGGTCGGGGTGGAATGGGCTCTGGTTCCACGACTTGGGGTCCATATTGACCAAGTTCGGGTTGGTATTGGGTGGGGTGGAATTGCATGGGTCGGGGTGGAATGGGTTCTGGTTCCATGATTTGAGGTTGGTATTGGGTCAGGTGGAATTGCATGGGTCAGGGTGGAATGGGTTCCGGTTCCATGATTTGAGGTTGGTATTGAGCAAGTTCAGGTTGGTATTGGTATTTAGTGCTGCCGTGGTCCGGTTCAGTCCGGTTCAGAGGGTCATAGAGGAGAACCAAGAACCGGACCATCGGTTCAGTTCTACGAAATGTCTGAACCCAGAACTGGACCTCAGAGAACAGTTCTCTGTGGTCTGGTTTGGTTTTTTTGGGGTCCGAACCCGAACCAGACTCAAAAATTTCTGTGTGGAGCACATTAATGAAAGGTAGAAGTTTGAAAGTTTTCTCCTGCATCTATGAAAGTGGGTAGAGACCCTGTGGTAATGTCTTTGAGTCGAGTTGTATGCGCATTGAATATGAATGATCTGTCGGGATAAGCAGCGGTCAATTCGTGTGGTAGAGTTGGAATGTTGTGATGGAAGAGTCGATTGAGGAGGAATCCCTTTGTGAATAGATAAATCCCAGCTAATTGAACACATAGCACCCAAAACAAGATTCAAAATTCACGAGATATCATTGCATTCAGAATACAAATTTGTCGAGTACAGTAACATTAATGCATAAGTTGTAATGAGACGCACCACATTATTGACCATATCTGGACCTTGAGCGTAGCTTTGAGCACGTTGTGACAGCAAGTCATGTGAGAGTTTGATTGATTAGTACTTACCTTCAAAAAGGCTAAAGGTAGCCTGATTAACCAGTAGTGCGAATCCTGAAGACAACAGTTTGACGTGGAGACCGAAGTTGTCACAGTCAAAGTCAAAGTCAAAGTCGATAACAGTTCGGAATGGTTCAGCAAGGCCGAACCAGAATGGGACCATTGGGGAAGACCTTGAACTGAGAACCATTTTCTGGTCTGGTTCTGGCTGGTGTGAGAACCGTGGACTGAACCACGGAGAACTGGATCAAAAGTCCGGTTCGAACCATGGTTCTGGACTGGACCACAGCAGCACTATTGGTATTGGGCGGGGTTTAATTGCATAGGCATGGGCTCCAGTTGCATGACTTGGGTTTCGTATCAAGTGGCTTCTGGTTGGTATTGGTATTGGGTGGGGTGGAATTGCATGGGTCGGGGTGGCATAGGTTCTGGTTGCATGACTTAGGGTTCGTATTGGTAGCCAAAGGGCAGGGGCTGTGCAAGGGGGAGGGGCTGTACCATAGGCTGGGATGATGAATGGGCCTCATATGATCCTATTGCAGGGCATGCAACATGACTGTGCGGTATAGGAACATGCTTATGTATGCTTTTGCGGTGGGCTGTGAGGAGGGAAGGATTGTGAGTTTTAAAGTCACAATCATCGTGAAGGCAGTTGTGGCATTGCTTGCCTGCACTAAAATGAAATGAAATAACATACTCAATCAGGTGAAATTAATGACAGTGATAAATGAGCGCATACTGTTTATCAGAATGGATGCCATAGCTTTTTTTAATCAGTGTCGCAAAGTTACACCCAGGCCAGGTGCAGATGTACTTACTGCACAAGCGAATATAAGCGAGGTGAACTGTATACCATACGGGAGAAACACGTACTTTTTTGGATGCATGGCTTCATGTCTCTTGAGGTCGACGCGCTTGTCAAAAGTTTGGTTGCAGCCAGGCCCCCCAGTAGAGCAAACATAGATCTAAATATGACAAGGGTCAGTCTTCAAGTTAATGCATAAAGTATATGCATGAATAGGCTTACCTTTGGCATGATTGGTTATATAAGAATATCAGTGAGGATATGACTTGTGAGGTGAATGTACAATTCAACTTGAGCGAATGATGGTGCTGGATAAGTATTAGGGTAGGCATATAAATGATTCCCTGCTGTGGTCTTAGCATTGTGCTTTTAGGTGGACAAACACTTGTGGAATTCATACAGAGGTTCTTTGTGGAGGTTACTAGTGGATGTGGACCATATAACGCATGATCGAAGCATCCACATCCGTTTGAAGGCTTCATTAGCTGTTACAGCATCAATTGGACACCAGGATAGAGTTATTCTATGGAGATGTGTATGTTGATGGAAACCAGATGTGGAGAGTTGGGTAAAGATTGACATGGATGTCAAATTGCATGATACCGAGGTCCGACAGAATTTTGGACTCAAATATCTTTGTCATCGTGATGGCCTGGACCCATGATGCGACAGGCAGTCACTTGACAAATCACTAAAACTTTACATGTCCAAGTGGTGTTTTGAGAGTTGTCAATTTCAGCGGTGAGATTGGACACGTGATTGATAGAGTCCGTGCAGGTAAGTGCATTTTTTTTAGATTGCTACTAGCTAAGGCTAGACAATACAACGATGTAATGAGGGGACTTGTTGAGACATCCTTGTATGAATGTGAGTATGAGTGAATGTGAGATTAAAGGTGTAATATAATGTACTAGTGAGTATCCTCAAGTTGTGCATTTTACACAGAAGCCAACAAAGTATGCATTCTTGCAGAGACCGTGCAATTATATGAACACTGACAGAGGTGCGAAGTTCAAACAACATTGATATTCAACACTGGTAGCTTCGTCACATGTCAAACCCTTTGTAGCGTATTTCCATTGGGAGAAATGTACAGCGAGCACAGCCTGAGATTGACCTCCTTGCGTCGAAAGGCCAGCCTCATTACCATTCGGATGTTGCATAACTGCAGCTGCTTCTCCACGGGCCAATTCTGCTGCACTAGGAGGGGAAACAAGATTTCTTTGTAAATGTATTTCCTTCAATGATATCAACAAGGAGCAATAGAAGCCACTTATATTTTTCTTGTGACCGACAGCTACATCAACAGTGTGTTTCGAGCTTTCTCCTGAAAATAAGTTGAAATTCCGACGTCGAGGCTGCAGCGGTATTGATTGTGGTGTGTTTGAAGGTCGAATGCTGAAATGCAGCGAACAGAGAGAATTGCACCAACGAAGGGAAGAGGATGGCTGGTAGGAGCTGCAGGACGAGGCTGGGTGTCAGTATCAGTGTCCCAGAAGTCCTTTCCCTATACCAGTGTCAAACCTGCAAGAGACGAAAAACAAGAGATCATACTGACATATATTGCCAAGCCTCTGTTCATGCGCTGCTGCTGGGAGACCCGACTAGCGTGCAAGATCTGACAAAATGGATAAGCAAATGAGTAGGGCATTGACAACTGAGCATCTATCGATCGAACTGGATGTCCCTAGTAAAGAAGATACCATAAGAAAGAGAAACACAGAAAGCTTTCCCTGAGATTCACATCGGGTCTTGCTTCAGTCGCAAGCTGAATTATAACCAAACAAACATACTCACATGGTCATCCCTGTATGTCTGAGAGCTGCATCGAGGCTCTATACACATATCTTTACGTCCAATCCAGCACCGATGATATATATTCCATTAGGGGACATGACAACATGCATGAGTATATCGTGCAAGAGCGGGTCTCCGACTGGCTGATTGATCCTGAGATCCCAGATACGAACTGAGTAGTCAGCTGCTGCGCCAACAAGATAGATTTGAAAGCCATTTTGTTAACACAGCAGCATCAGGGGAATGATAGAAGGAGTGTACGACCATCAATTTGGATATTGCCCTTGAGCCTACCATTCTTCTGTTACTAGTCCAAGGACTCCCCACTGCACTCCATCTATTGTCCACTGACAAATCAAACCATCGCCTGATGCGCTCAGTATATTGCAGCTTGTGCCCAAGCAGGCAAGGCCCCAAATGAATTTGGAATGACCCTTGATGATGCACTCCAGCGTCAAGCTCCCTGATGGACCGTTCTGGCGTTGGTTTCTTCCATGACATGATCTGGGTGTTGTAATTGACAAAGCAGGGCCTGCAAATCAGTGAGATGTGCTGTTTGCAATGAGTCGTCCAGGATGATCTATGTTTCACTATGAGTTCAACTTCCTCGCTGCTAATGGCATATTCTTCACTCACTTAGTTGCACCCCTGGTAAAGGTCGTTGCCATGAAGCATACAAGTGTGACACCCTGATAGTATACTCTATCATTTAACATCTTATGCTGCCATCGTTGAGGAAGCAGTTCATTCCTGCCTGTTTCTCGTCGTGTAAGTCAGCAGGTATTAGAATGCGGGCATTCACCTTCCCAAAGTATATTGTGTACCAGATGGTGGTGGATCCTTCTCCTTCGTCCGACGAGGTGCACTGACCACTGGTGAGCTCAACATCGCTCCTCTTTCTCCACCTCATTGTTGTGTTGATATGCTTGACTCAGCCATGGTGCTGACGAAGAAAGTTTTTGATTGCCGCACTCTGTACAGATGCATTGACAGAGCTCAATACCACAAATGGTGAATATTGTTGAAGGTGAGGAGAGATGGTGAAGGTGATGAAGAGACCTGCTAGATAGTCAGCTGTACATCTTGAATTTTCAGGCACCTCTTTGAATTGCATCCGTGCTTTGAATGTCTGGGTAGTTCTCTACAGTTCTATAGATTGCCATACATTTATGCCAAGGAGTGATCAAGGTATGATGATGGCCGCGAGGAGTCTATCAGATAACCGAGTGCATTTCTGATATTAGTGCAGATATCTTGGGGATTGGAGTATACAACGTGCAATGATCAAGGGTATGGAACTTTGTTCTGATGGGGGAGGAGAGTATCTGGTACTTAGTTTAGGAAGGCGTGGAGGAAAAAAAGTTGGGTGCCATGGAGTCATCCCAGAGATTTACACATCTTTGACGGTTGAAAAAGGGTTTCAAAGAAAGGACTTGCCCAGGCCCAAGATATCAGGTATACCTCATTATATCCCTCTTGGCCAAACTTCCTGTCCATTGTAACCCCTGGTGTAGGTCTGTCTCTGGCGATGGTGCCATGGTTGCATCTTGAAGGGTTTGCTAGTATTGGACCTTGCACATGTACATCTTGCTGACAACCAAATATTCTAATCTCCGCAGACACATTTGAAATTTGGAGTTCAAAAGTGTTCAACCCCCTATTAAATAGATTGAGATGGTTGATACACGTGCACAACCTTGCACCAACATTGCTTGCGCACCTAGAAAATCTTGAACAATACAGAGCAAGACCATGCTTCCTTCCAACATGTTTTCTGCTGTCGGGAGTTCAGCATCAAACTTGGATTCACTGCCAGATGACTTGATTTTGGAGGAGACTTTCAGACAAGTCGCCGAACTCGACCCCATTGATTTTGGTATTTGTAGCCTACACTTACCCAAGGCTCACGTTCATTTGTGATGTTCAATCTTCAAGATCAATGTAGGGACGTGTTGAAGTTCCTTATGGAGCCAAACCCCGAGCAAGAGTCTGCTGTATGTTCGAATTCATGGGTGGAGCGCGAACAGTCATTTGATCATCGTAACAGGAATTTTCTGATGTTTATTATGGGGTATACTCGACAGTAGAGCACATCATCAAAGAGAATGATACAGTACCAGGAAGGCCAAGGTTAGGATGAATATCTCACTTTTTATGACTAACATATTATCGTAGATTGAGTTACTTTGAGGACAAACACATCCTTCTCATCAAAAAGTTCACCAGTATTCACGAAGTTCCATTCCTTCACCTGGATTCAATATTCTGTCCATTTTTGGTTGGTCTCCACCGCCATGACTCGGACTACTCTATGTACACCACAATATCCAGGGTCCTTACGCTGCTCTATGCATCTGCTGTTCCAGACCTGTCGATTAAGATGAATGTGGTGACCAAGAATATGGTTCATGAGCCTAAGGTCCTTGCCATCGGGGAATGTGCATTTGCCCAGGATACAGATTCAGTTCTTCAGAAACTCAAATATGAAATCGCCTGTCATCCGGAAGTCTCGATGGCCATAATGGTTGCAATTGAAGAACACCAACCATATCACTTACCTG